ATATATATATATCAATTTACCTCAAATGGTTTTTTTTTTTGTGAAATTGTAATATTTTCAATTCAGTCATACATACAATCCATTTGATCCTGGTTTTCACCAGGTTATACCTGGTTATTTGTAAAGTAATTTGTTATGCTCAACTGTAACATAACAAGACAAAATGTGAAAACTTCTAATGAGTGTAAATCTTTTTGCATGATTCTTTTTTTTTTTTGTCAGCCGCAAGCTTCAAATTCTGGAATATATGTGTATTAATAAAGATAAAACAGAATACAGGATACTGTTAATGTCTTTATAGGAATCTTTGCATTATTTATTTCTTAATGAATTTAGTCATTTTTACCGCACGAGCTTACCTTGCTTTGAACTTTCACACGGGCGAAAGCCACCTATAGAGCTAATAACTGTGTGTGTTTTTGTGTGTTGCAGGGGGCAGTTAAAGTTGATTCTGTGGAGTCACAAAGCTGTGAGCAACAGGAGAGGTCCAGTTCGGCCCATCTGCCTCCCCAGACACCATCGTCGCTCTCCCCGCTGCCTCCTTTGCCCCCTTACCCCTCTGCCCTCTCCTTCCACCCGTGCACGCCGTCTCCCTCCTCTCTTCCTCCGTCGCCGTCCTCCCTCCTGCCCCTCCCGTCTCCTCCGTCTTTCCTCCTGCCTCCACCTCCCTCGCCGCGTCTGCCCTCTCGCTCCAGCAGCCTCCGCAGGCCCAGGGCTCCGTCCGCCATTTCCCTCTCGGACCCGGCCGACGCAGAGGTGTATCACATTACCAGCTCGGCTCGCCACAAGTGGAGGGACGCGGAGGGAGGAGAACAGGAGAACAGATGCAAGGCCAGTCGCAGCCACTCGCTGTCCCCTTACGCCTCGCCGCACTCCCTTGATTTGATCCCCACGCTGCCCCCTCCGTCCAACGGGAGCACCCTCAGTCTGCTCGGGGCGGGATCGAAGGACGTCAAGAAAGGCTTCAGCGTCGACCACCACGGCTTCCTGGAGAAGCCTCAGTTAGAACCGGCGGGTCCAGACCAGCGGCGCCACTCGATCGAGGTCTGCCTTCCACAGGCCGTCATAACCACCGACAGCCAAAACTTTACGCTGGAGACCCATCGATCGGAAAAGGGCGCTCAGGCCTTTCCCGTGAGGGTGCAATCAGTCGGCGGCAGGCAGAGAAAGAAGAAGACGAGCCCTCCCTGCATATCCATCCACCCGCCCCCAGAGAGGGAGCAGCGCCTGCTTCCCTCGCCCCCGAAACTGGCCGACTGCAGCATGACGCTGAGACGCAGGACATCTTCCAGCGACTTCACGCAGCACTCGCAAGACACGCCCGCCGAAACGCAGCTCCGCGCACAAATGCAGACGCCTCTCACGCCGATCCCCGCGCCGCTGCAGCCGCATTCGCCGACGCGCGCTCTGACCCCGTCGCAGGGGTCCACCCCGACCCACGCCCAGGCGCACACGCCACCTGCGACTCACATTCCCATCAGCCCAAACATCTTCATCCAGCCCCACGCGCCCCTCCTCCCAACCGTTTTGCCTTTCTCACAGACGGCCGCGAGGCACTCCCCCCTCGCGGGAGACTGCATCCCCCTGCCCCGATTCACCTTCGACCAACCGCAGTCCAGGTACACGGGCGAGCCGGAATCCGTCGCCTGCTCTTCCCCTTTCGACAACCGGCTGGGAAGCAGTCCAGGTTTCAGCGCAAAGAATCGGAGGACTGCCCAGTGAACTCGCAGAGTTGCATTCAGGAGATGAATTATTCAGTTTTGAGAAGTATCTAAAGCTGGAGTAGAAACCTCCCTCCCCCCCCCGCGCCACCGACCGAACCTCATCTGACCTCAGCAGTGTTGGGTGTTGAAGAAGGAAAGAGGGGTTCTTTAGTTTGTTTTTGTTATAAAAAGAAAAGACATTGATTCCGTCCAGGAAATACGTGGAAATGAACTCCTCATGATTAAAACAGAAGGCGGGATACAATTTTTTCTTGCTTAAAAAAAAAAATCTGCCGAGGTTGGACATTTCTAGTATCACTCACTGTAGTGTGTCGACGGCTGATCCCCTCACCACACAACAGGACTGAAGCCACCTTACTCTTGTAGCCAAAGTTTTTTTCCACACACCGTCCTCACCCACGCGAGCCAATCAGGAAGCAGCGTCTGGCTGGTGACCGCCGACCCTTTTTTTTTTTTTTTTTTTTTTTTTTTGTTTCCTTTTCTTCGTTGTCGTTTTCTTTTTTAAAACAGGGAAGGCGGTTTGTGAAACGCGAGCGTGGGAGGGGGAAACGGTGGGATATGCAACTTCAGGTTTTCTGCAGACGTTCTGCTCGCCCCCTTCTCTGCTCCTCGATCACATTGATCAGAGAGGAAACGTGGAAAATGCGCCGAGCGAGGTTTCCGCGGAGCCCATCGTCACCCAAGTCGAACTTGCTCATTCTCGCGACGACAGAGAGGGGGAGCACGGTAGAGCTGTAGTTTTTTTTTCCTTTTTTCTTTTGTCCAAGTGTAAATAAAAGGAGAAAAAAAATCAAAACAAATGTATTTGGTGAGATTTAAAGATAGCTCTATCCATATGCACATATTTTTATAGAGGTCTATAATGTTTTTTGCACACAGATTTGAATTTCAAGTTGCTCGTATTTCCTCTGTTGTCCTCTCGTGAATGTATGTTTCTTCTAAAAGATCCAGCGAGAGTGGTGATGGCGATTGAACCTCCTCTCAAACTGCAAGTCGAGGTCGAGGGGAGGGACTTTATTTTTCTATTTTGACAAAGCATCAGAGCAGAGAACTGGCGGGTGATGTGTTTTTTTGTTTTGTTTTGTTTTTTTTCTGTAGTTTTGTCTCGGACTTTTTGTGTACGTGGTGTCTCAATAACAGTCTGGGGAAGCAGGCTCAGTGGTGCAAACACGTAGACTTTTGATGGATCTAAACCAATAAAGAAAAAAAAAAATTCTTGAACGTTTGAAGAAAAAAAAAATCTCTAGGGAAGCTTTGCACTGGTTTTTACAAGTTGATTTCAAAATTAGGGATTTTTCAGCTAATTTTCGAGGACAAAAAGCCGTACTGCGGTGTCTTTAGGAAAACACAAACACCTAATCTGTAAGCACCTGCAATGCCTTGTGAAACATTTATATCCATCAAACTTTTTCACATAAGTCCAGTTTTCAGTTTGCCACAAGCCATGTGAACAATGGAAGGATGTGATCAGATGAAACATCGCATTAGCCACTTTCCCTATGGTAAAACAAGGCGTGGTGGCATCATGCTGTGGGGTTTTGTCTTTCAGTATAGGGAAAAGAAAGCTGTTGGGAGTTAATGGGAAATAAATAAATTCCTAAAAAATAAAACCTATTCGAGACTAAAAATAATAATAAAAAAAATGCACTCAGAGCAACAAAAGAATGGTTTAGATATGCAATCAAGAACGGCCTAATCAAAGCCCACACCTAAATCCAACCGAGAATATGTGTCAAGATTTGACAACCCACGTTTACAAACACTTTCCCACTCGAGACTGTTTGAGCTACTTTACTGAGAATGATCAAAGAAGCTAGTAGCAAACGACTTGCATTGCACCAACTTAAAAAAAAATTTAAAAAAATGTCTTCGGTAAACGATTCACAGTATAAAAAGCCATCGATGTTGGTGAATGTAAAGCGACAAAATGTGAAAAAGTTCATGAAGCGCGTGTACTTTTGCGGCGCAGGGAAAGTATGAAGAAATTCAAAGTGGCATCACTGAGCCTCTCTTCTGCTGCTGTGCTTCGGCTGGATCAGCTCCGACACCTGTGTTCCTGTACATCTAAAGACAACCAAACTAACTTTCTAAATATGTGTAGCCAGAGTGCAATAATAATATATAAATATATATATATATATGTGGAAAATATAGTGACATCCACACTACATAAGACAGCCACATCCTTGTATTCATACATACTGTAGAACTGTTATAAATATATGAAATGAGATGATTTTTTTTTTTTTTTATTACGTATGATGGTCGAGGGATGTTACTATTTCTGCTGTAGGTATGCACGGCCTCGTTAATGGCTGTGTGGGGATTTGGTATGGCAGATGTTTTTTTGTTGTTGTTTGTTTTTCCTCCAAAAGCTCAGGCCCACCTGCCTGAGGTGTTACTGTAAGCAGAAGAGTGACATGCATCTCTACTGAGGACTCAATAAGCCATTTGTCATTGCCATTGCCATTTTTTTTTTTGTCCCTTTTTCTTTAGACTAACAATTCATTGTTCACAACGGATCATATTTATTTCCCACACCAGATAAAATAAAGCCACAGCTTGCTGACAAAACCACGCAAAAGCTTTCCGGTGGCTGAATGTTGTCGTGCAGAGCCGTACTTCTACTCTGACACAGCACAATGTGTATTTTGATCCAGTTTGTTTTTTTTTTTTTTTTTTTTTTTTTTTTTTGTTCAGTCTTTTTTTGGCTTTTT